TAGAAATGGAGGTAATTTATGGTAAATTCTTAATCTGAAAGACTCACATTTGATCCTGTTTAATATAATTTCAATTATTCTGACTAGTTTGCACAATTTTTGCTATGATTTAGAGTTATGTAACTACAGTGGCTCTCAGACCAAAAGTCTAAATAAAAAATCAGTAATTAATTATTGGACAGGCAGCGTCGCGTTCCTTCGTTTCTAACAGAAACTCTTTATGAACGATGCAACAAAAGGTTATTTTAGTAATGGAATATTTTGAGAATCGGATTAAAAAACTGGGACACTCTGCAGATTTTTCATTTCCCCACTTAAGCTTATTTTGTACAAAATTAGAAATTTACAAGAAAATGCAAATCAATAGTTCAAGTCTTTTTTAAAATAAGGAAATGTAAATTTCTTTCACCTAAAATGCAATAATGTAGCATTTTTTATTGAATGTTTGGTCATCTGTAGCAAAGGATGCATCTGCAGATAAAAGAAATATGTTATAAATAAATTTATATAAATAACTTAGATTAATCGTGATTAATTGTGGATAATCCGATTAATCGTTTCATTTATAGTTTCAGCTCCTCAAATTTAAATTTAAAAATAATTTATTGATCCCAAAAGGGAGTAAATAAATAAATAACAGTAATAAATTTGCACTAACTGTGCTGGATTATTCCTGTATTTTCTTATTTTTTGTTATTCAACTCATTCTAATCATGATTTGCTGTTGTAGACACATTAATGCAAATAATATTAAGGTTTTTAAGTTGCATAATTCCTTAAAGTCATTGAGAAACTTAAGAGAAAGAATATATTTTTAATTTAATTGTGAATAAACACAGCTCAGTATTGTTGTTTCTAGTTTCTCCAGATGCTCAGATTTTGTATATTAAAAAAACTGGTTTTGTCTTTTACCACTTTGTGATAAATGAAACAAATATTGAATTTGTTGCAACTATAAAGTCACTTTTCTCATCTAAAAGCTAAAAAGAGTCTCAGCCTTGAAAAATAGTTTTGAACTTCTAGGAAAGAAAATAAATCACTTTTCTATTAAACCTTTTAGTTTGTGATAATAGCATGAAATGTGAAAGGATAAAAAGTTAAATTACAGCTAAAATCATTGAAATTCGAGGTATTTCTGATTAATATCTTTAGACATGTAGTGGAAATATATGAGAGCTTTGAAGAATTATTTCTGAATTCTCCTGAGAATCTCATGGCAACATTTTCGTTTCCATTCCTGCCTTTCCTGTTTGTCTTCTGTGGAAATGCGGCGTGTTATTAACTCGGTGATATTCATGAATCCTGCCCAGGCATATAAACTGATCATTACCGACAGCGCTAAACGCTCAGGACAGCTCTATTTCCCATTAAACCTCGTTTCCCTGCAGGGTTCTGCAGGAACCACTGGACTCATCTCATCTCCGTCTCCTTTCCTTCAGTTTATGTTGTTGACACAAACAATCATTAAACCTGCTGCTTTGAGCTCCTAATTAATGCTGTTTAAGATGCAAAGCAGGAACATTATGCTGGAAAAATAATAACAATAATCAGAATATTTATTCAGTTATCCCATTAGCATCTGAAAGAAATAAACTCCCCAAAAAAGAGATTTTACGCGAGTAAAAATGGGATAAAACGTAATAATTTTTCTAAATATATTCAGGTTTTTGAAAATTTCTCATATCTTAAAGCTTTTCCCCAAAACATGTTAAACCAAAAAGAAAATGTCAGTTTAGACCAATTATTAATTTACTCTGTAGAAAAAAACAGAATGTTTGAAATATAAAGCATAAATTTATTGAAAAAGGAGCAACATGTGAAATTCTTGAAATTCATACAAGGTGCAATTGTGCAATGAAAAAAAGAGTAAATTTAAAAAGTACAGTTCTGACATTGACAAATCTAACATTTGAAAAAAAAAGTCAGAAATTTTGAGTTTAATTTTCAAAAGTTGAAAATGTTCAAATTTTGTCAATTTTCTGAGTTTCCAAAGTATAAAATTTTCAACTTTTGAACTAAAAAATGTCCAGGTTTTTTCTAAAAAAAAAATTTTTTTTGATAAACATCAAATTTTCTTCATTTTTTTCTCATAAATTTTTGAACTCTTCAAACTCAGAAATGTTCAAATTTCCTTGGACGATTTCTGAGATGAATCTAAAAATGTTTTTTTTTTCTCAAATATTTTACAGTGCAGGAACTCAAAAATTGTCTTTTGTTTTTCTAGAAAATTTCTGAGATTAATCTCAACATTTCTGAGTTTTTTTTCCCATTTTCTTTTTTTTTTTTTTTTACTTTTGAAGCTCAGAAATGATCACATATTTCCTAGAAAATTTCCCAGATTAATCCTAAGATTTCTCCTATTTTTGGCGGAAATTTACTCTCCCATTTTTTCTAGATTCAGTTTGGAAACAAACTATCTGTGCTTCAAATATCAAAATTGGTTCTCTCATTTCATTCCACGTTTGAGGTTTTAATGCACAAATTATTCAAACGTCTGAATGAAAATGCTTTGAAAAACATAAAACCATACAGAGTTATTATGCAAGATGTAATCAAATGATGTCACAGTTTGTCATTCAGAGGAGTTTGAAGACGAAATGACCAGGAAACAATAAAAAGGTGTTGTTTCCCGGTTTGCCACATGAGGGCGCTGTTACACAAACATACATAAACACGTAATCACTTTGATAAACCAGAGAAGACCTGCGACGTTTCAGTGACGTCGCGCTGATATATACAAAGTTTTCACAAAGCAGAACCATTCATTTCATTTTGAGCTGCTTTAAAGCCTTTCCCCCTCTTAAATAAAATATTAGTTTTCTTTTCTTGCCGTTGAAGTGAGAAATGCGGCTCAGTTGGGCCATCAGGTTCCGTCTCTCAGGCAGAAACTGGATCTGACATTTCCTGTCCGCTTTGTATCGCTTTGACATTTGAAAAAGAAAAAAAGAGAAAAAAACATGATACTGATTGCTCAAGCACACAGATAAGAAGAACTGATCCAAATCGTAAGCCGCTGTTTCCATGGCAACGTCAGTGTTGACAACACAGTGGAAACGGGGTTTGTTGTTGTTGTTGTTGTTGTTGTTGTTTTCATGGCTCTTTATTCTGGATTTTCATAAGAGAAATAAAGTTAAATGAAAGAGTCTATTGTTTAGCTTTTTAAAAATCAGTTGGAGAAATTAATATTATTCTCAGCCGAGTTTAAATGTTTTTTAAATGTAATTTTCTATCAAATCTTGAGCAACATTTCAGTGGGAGCATTTTTTAAATTTTATGTAGGAACAAATAAGACATCAGATTTGTTTTCTGCTGAGCTTTGAAAACTGTAGAGAATCTGGTTAAAAATATATTCAGTATTCAAAGAGAAATTGATGTGATATTGATTCAGATTTCCAAATTAATATAAAAAATAATTTTTTTAAATATTTTTATTTATGCATCTTTTAATGTATGGCTTTCTGGTCAGGGTGCTGTACAAAATGAGAGAAGCCATTGTAAAAAAATAAAATAAAATAAAAATAGATGTATTTACAGTTTAATATGAGGCAGATAATTAGTGAAAATAAGAACTAGCTTCTGTTTCTTTTCTTCCAGTAAAATTTAGAAACAACCAATCAGAGCCAGGAGGTGGGTCTTACTGCTGTCAATCACCTCCTGTCGTCCTTTGCGTAGCCCCCGATGCACTCATGTACTCGCACCCGATTTCTCTGGTGCAAGTACATGAGTTTGATTGATAGCGCTAAGCCCCGCCTCCTGGCTCTGATTGGCCAGTTCAGAGAGGAAGTGGAGGAGATGGATCTTTTCACAGATTATCTCATATTATTCTGTCACAACATAATGATATTTTTAACATATGTAAAAAATAAATATTTTTTTATAAAAGTTACAAACTGCAGCTTTAAGCTCCGTAAGAAAAATATTGCTGAACAGTCTGGGAGAAAATACCAAAAATAACAAAAAAATATTTTAAACTCTACCCTCTACCCTCCTGATTTAAAAACACATATTTGGGGAAACGATGAGATTTATTTTTGTCTTTTGAAGTAAAGCCGCCTTGGACAAACTGTAGCTGAAGTTGTGGCTCGTATAATCGCTGTGAGGATTGGCGCTAAGGACCAGATTTATCACAGAGTAACCGTGCTGCATGTGGTTAATGGACGAGTCGCCCTCGGCTCTACAGCGCGCTGTAATTAACGGTTCCACTGGTTGAATTTAAAATATGATTAGTGCGAAACAACTACTCCTCAGAGGCAGATCGCTGAGCAGCAGCACTTTCTCCAAGGGTTCATTTCGTCCTCTCTAATCTCAGCCTCCATCATCCCCGCCGTCTGATTGCACCTTTTAGGGTTTTATTCATGAGAAAGGAGCGGGTTTATTCAGCGATACCTTCTGAAATATGTTCTTTACTTTACAGAAAAGGCCTGGCTGAAAACTCTGCTTTAGCTAAATAAAGTTCTGTGTCCAATCAATGAAGCAAAAAAAATGAATAAAATAAATATGTGGATTAGTAGCTCATATTCACATTTAGTCAGGTTGGTTCAGTTTTTTCCCTCTTAATTCATGAAATCATCATTTGGAAACTGCTTGTAAACTAAATATCTAGATCCAAACTAAATATTAATTTTACAAGATTGCTCAGTTTGAAGCTGAATATTTAACCTGTTGGTAATTATTTAGCTTGAAACTGTGACTTTTATAAATGTGCTCATTTGTTTTTCTTCTGTGAGAAACAAATTATTTAGCCCAATAACTTGGGCTAAATAACCCAAGTTATTGCTGTTAACTGTGTAGCATTAAAAAAATCAACTAAAATAGACTAACATTATATTGAAGCACCACTGAGCTGTTTGAGAAGCTTTCAAATCATATATTTAGTCTTGAACTGTTCCACTTTTTCTGTGCATATTCCTTTAATAATTATCAACTATAGTTTGCTTTAAAATTAAAATGATACGAGACACTGTTGCATATCTGTCTGATCTTGTGCGTAATTAGTTGTATTGTTAAGTTCCCAGTAACTTTCATTATCCTGTGAGCTTCAGATGTGATGCTCCTGATCACAGCTGGCGTCTGGACACACAAACATCTGCTTCAGGTTCTCCTTTGCATCCAATCAACAGGGCACAGATGCTGCTTGTCAACCGCATCACTCTCACAGAAGGTTTCTCTTCAAATGTACATTTTCTGCGTCGTGACGAGCTCGTTAAACCTCATTGTTCCAAAGCGTTACTGGCAGAACGACCGACAATAAAAACGACCATGTGGGACCAATCAATGCTTGGCTACTTTGATTCCCTTCTGCAAACAAACCAGATTTCACGTGGTTTGCTTTCGTCAATGTTCCTGACCTGAATACTGTGCTGTACTTCCACACCACCCATGTCAATACACAGATTCATTACAGACGGTGAACAGCTGCTAATCTATAAAGCTATTTTCAGAAAGAAGAACTGAATGAGAGAAGCAATGAGTTGTTTGACTATCAGATGCTGACCTCTTTGTGATTTCATTGTACGCCGTGTTGTGGCAGCAAAAGTGTGTCACCCTGCAACAGCTTGGGCGCACCGTCGGACGCCAGGGCAACTGGGGCGGACAATTAAAACTGGGCAAAGCCAGAGGACAGGAAACCATCGGACAGGGTCTGGCATGGTTAAGTTGCTCGTGTCTATTTCAGACGATGGTCTCAGGCTCGAGTCTGTGCAGAAAGGATCACAAAAGGTTTTTCAGAGTAAGAGAAGGAAGGTGATAAACATGGCCACCTTGAGGCGACAACCGAGATCCAGAACCGGTTCGACTCGACAAGACCGGGGATCGTGCTCCTCAACTGCGTCTTGTCCAGTCTTCTCTGGAGCCTACAGTGACCAGGAGGACGAGTGTTCACTGCGCCGCCAGTCCTCTCCGGTCCTAAAGGGCTCTCTTTCCAGTCTTCGTAGCGCCACCTGTCCAAGTTCAAAAGGCTCCTTCCCCAGCCTTCAAGGATCCGTTCCATGTCTGCAAAGTTCTTTGCCAAGTCTTCAAGGATCTTTGCCAAGCCTCCAAGGCTTGCTACCCAACCTTAGGAGATCGATTTCTCAGCTGAAGAGGCGGTCGCTGGGCAGCCTGGAGAACGCCAGGCCCAATGAGTGGACGGCAAGTCTCCACAGTCGCAATGGTAGTTCAAGTGACGAAGATGGCAGCTGGGATACCAACAGCTGGAGCTCAGGGGCCACCTGCCTCTTACGGACGCCCATCAGTCAAGAAAGCAGCCAAGCTTTGAGGGAATCGGACGGTAAAAGTTGCCCTGCTGACCAAACGTCCTCTGGCGCCAAATCTGAGGACGAAATAATTTACCAGAACATTGTTTTTTCACGTAAAGCTGAAAACAAACCAGAATCCACTCTGGCAAAGGCTGTGCAGCAAAAAGACACCTCTTCATGCCCAAGTAAGAAGGCCTCTACAGTTTCGCCACCTCAGCAAGGCGAAAAGGCAGCAGACAGGCGCAAGTTCTCCCAGTTTCTGAACGAAGTGACCTGCAGGGTGTTGAAAACTGATGGTGAGTCTCCTCAACAACCGCCCACGCCTCTCCATCATGACAAACCTCTGCCAGCGCCAGTAGTGGCTCGGCTGCCCCTTTACCCCGACCCAATGAATCCTCTGCCACTCTCTACATTGGCCACAAACTTGTGGTACAGCCCTACCAGCTGTAACCTTCAAACCATCAGGGAATACGACTCCAAAGACCTGAAAAACTGCATCCACCAGTGGAGCAAGACGCTTCCTAGCTGCAAAGTTTTGGAGCCTGAGGAAGTGCTAAGAAAATTAAAGAGTGAAAGTCTCTCCAAACCAGAGCACCATGTAAAGATATGTACAAAGATCCAGACGCAGCCGACCACTGGGAGGTTTTATCTGGAGACGGACATTGACAGAGTGAGGCGGCTGGATGAGCTTGTCGCTAATGGCACCCTGGGGAGAGAAAAGAGCCTGAACAGTTTGGAGAAAGGAAAGGAGAGAGGAAACCGGATTCCATGGGAGAGAAACGGAGGCTTGGGATCAGAGAAAGACAGGAAGGAACGAGAGAAGAGAAAAGATTACCCATGGGAGCGAGATCGAGGAGGAGAGAAAGGCAGACAAAGTGACAGAGAGAGAGAAAAACCTGCCTGGGAGCAAAAGGCGGAAAGAGGGAGAGAAAAGGACAAGAAAGCGGGATTTCCAAGTTATGAGCAGCGTCCGCGTCAGCCGTGTCCAGTTTTCAGCTGGCCAGAAGGATTTCCTAGAGTCTCCTACAGGTCTACGTCTCTGCCCCGGCCTGCGAACATCTCTGTGAGTACATCCGGACAACCGATCGATCGGTTTGTCACCGACTTCTGTCTGACGTTCACACGTTTTAGTCAAGTTCAATCAACTTTATTGGTACAGCAATTCAAAATGCTTTACACCATAAAAACATTAAGCATTACTTCAACATATTTTTACTTAACAAAAAGTATCCAAGAAGTTACTCAAGTCAGAGTAAAAAAGTATTTGGTGAAAAGTTTAATCAAGTACTGAATAACTGATCAAATTATCAATCATTTCTGCAGCTGTGTGTCTGGTGAATTTCTGGTTAAAACATGTTTGTTTTTCATTCAGTGGACAGAAAACCCAGAAATTTTACTCAAGAGCAGCGATACTTCAAAATAAAATTACAGCTACTTTTTACTTTTACTTGAGTTAAAATATGAAAATATGTTGAAGTAGTGCTGCTCTTACTATTTTTGGGTGCTCTGTCCTCGTCTGTCAGAAGCCAAATGGTGGAATAATATCTAATAAAGCTTTATAAGCGCTGGTGTCCAAAGTGCGGCCCGGGGGCCATTTATGGCCCCTGGACTGATGTTGTACGGCCCCCAACTGGAGTTCAAAAATGATACAAATTTGGCCCGTTTAATTTATTCAATTGAGCCCAAAAGAAACTAAATCGATTTTTCTTTTAATACAGCAAACATGCAGGGTAGTAAAAAGTAATACATTTCTGCCAAAAATTTCACAAGTTTTGAGAGTAAGCTCAAAAATTTTCTATAAAAAAACAAAATTTGGTAGAAAAAAAAATCAAATTTTTAGACTGCCAGAAATTTTCTTAAACATAAAACAACAAAACTATGAAATTCTCCGAAATTCTCTGGAAAAAAATAAATAAAAAATTGATAGAAAAAAATCTAATTTCTGGAATAATATCAGAAATGTTCTAAAAAAAATCCAAATGTAGAAAATTCCTGAAATTAATTACAAAATTTCAGAGTTTTTTCCAGAAATTTACTCCTTTTTTCCAATTACCCTAATACAACGTCGTAAAAATCCCTTTCAGATTTTGGATCTAAAATAAATATCAGACTTCTTTATTAGATTCATTTAAGGTTGATGTTTTTGTCGACTTTGGAGTCAAATATTTTGGCTCACATTGCAAAGCTTTGGACTCCTCCTGTTAGAAGCAAATCAAACATCCAGAGGTGATGAATGCGTATTTTGTTCCCAGTTTATTGGCTCCATTTTTCCAGGCTGCCCTCTGCAGAGCAGGAGGCTGGATGGAGGGATGGAGGGATGGATGGAGGGGGGATTTCTCTGCTGTCTCATTCAGGGGCTGTATGAGTCATCCTGCTGTATCATTCACTATGTTTGTAACACCCACACCGCAGCCCGGCTACACGCGCTCACAAACGCTCTCCCTGCTCCCATAAACTGCATGTTCCTGCTGCGTACCTGTGACATTTATTAATACACCGTACTGATTCCTCCACATTAAACCCCAGGGGCTGGCTGGAGCCGTGCCTGCACACAAACGTTCTCCAAAAACACACACAGAAACGTGTTTTATCACTCATATGTTGGTTCTGCACCAGAAATACCAAATATTTTAGCCGATACGTGTCTGTAACCCTTCGTTTCATGCATAATGCATGGCCACAAACATGACTTGCTTTCCTGTTTTCCTTGCTGATACATAATGCTGCATTCGTGCAGGCGCCACTTTGAATCAGGATGTAACTTTACAATAGGTGGCTAATAAATATGTGATTCATTCATTTACAAACATTTTATAAGTCATCAATGACTGTTTATTATGCATTTATTAAGGGTGATAAGGAGACAAAATATCAGTTTCTTGAACCAAATCTGCTAAACATTTAGCATTTACAAATGTATATTGTGGCTTTATGTCACAATAATAGCTATGCTAATTTAGCATGTTTTAATTAAGCATAGATTATATGCTAATGTCTTTTAGCATGTAATCTCCTTCTCCCCTTTATTTAATGCTTAATAAGCAGTTATTAATGGGGATGGACGGTATATCGGCGCCAACATCGGGATCGGCCGATACTTGTCATATTTTAAAGTATCGGTTTGGTAAATAAAACTGCGCTGATGTGAATAACCAAATTATTTTTATCTTGTCGCCTTCTGTTATATATAAAAAGTGGTGAAATATATAAAATATTGGTAAATATTGGTAATTGGATATAAAAGCAATATTAAAATTGGATATCGGCCCAAATTTTCAGATTGGTGAAGTCATTAATGATTTATAAAGCATTCATGGATTAATTAATGACATTTCTTTGCCTGTTTATTATCCATAGGATGGTCAGAAATAAAGACCTAAATCTAATTTTGGATCGGTGTATCGTGTCGTGTCCAGGACACTTGGAATCCAAATTTATTTACCTTTTCATTTATTTTCCTTTAAGTTTTTTTGTTTTTCTGCGTTTCCGATAAGTAAAAAAACCCCTAATTTATCAGCTTTTGGTACTTTCTCTGCCTCTGCAGTACAGCATAAATAAATTCCAGTTATCAGCTACAACAGTAACATTAAAATCGTATATTAATATCGGCCCAAATCCCCAGTTATTAATAATGAATTATAAAGCCTTCATACATTAATTGATAACATTTCTGTTCATTTATTAGCCATAAAGCTGTCAGAAATAAACATAAAGACCTAATTCTAATTCAAACCACACTTGGAATCCAAATTTATTTACCTTTTCACTTATTTTCCTTTAATTCTTTTTGTTTTTCTGTCTTTCTGATAAGTAAATAAACCCTAATCGATCAGCTTGGGTACTTTCTCTCTGCCTCTGCAGCACAGCACAAACATATCTTCTGTTCCCCTCCTTCTTCCATACAGAGAGTAAAATAATGGATATATTTGTTTGCTGAGACGCAGAGACCCTTTAAACAGCAGATAAGAGGTGCAGCAGCAGATAAATCTGCCTGATAAATGCACGCAATCATTTCATCCCGTGTTCTTCTCCTCCTCCCAGGAATCTGATGGAGAGATGCGGCACGACAAGAGGTAAGCCACTTCCACTTTCACCTCCTCCCTCCATCACTCCCACAGCTCCTCCTCCTCCATTCAGTTCGCGGCTCTGCCCCTCTCTCCGTTTTCTCCTCTCCGCCGAGTCTCCAGTCAGAATTGGAGGAGTCTTTTTTTTTCTAAATGCAATAAGCTCCGAGGAGGGATTTTTGTGATCTTATCTTTCCGAAAATGAGGCGAAAAGCTCCTAAGCGGTAAGGCTGTGATCCGGACATGACTGAGTGTAGTTGCTGTGTCACATAGTGATTGTTTGGAGCGCGGTTCGGTTCTTCTGCTGTCCATGTGTTGCATAGAGACAGGGCGCCTGCAGAGACGCAAACGGTGCGCTACGATGACGGCAGGATGGGGAGTAAATTCAGTTTAACTGCTTCTAAGTCACTGCAGCAGAAACAGCTGACGGTTAGTTTCACTTGCAGCAAATCTGCGCTTATTTATTCAATTATTCAATTATTTATTATCTGCTGTCACTATGATTTTATTAGTGTGCGAATGATGAGGCGCCAAGTGTTCCTCACAGCCCTCAATTAGCTGCTGTATTGACGGGGAAGATGATACCACAGAGAGGCAATTACAGCTGAACAAGCACATCATGAGCAAGAAAAAACTAAAAAGTTCCTCTCACCTGGTGCAGACTAAATAAGTGTTTAGTTTAAAACTGTGGGTGTGAATGAGAGATAAACATCTAGCTTTCAAAGTGAATACAGCTTGTAAGTTTGTAAAAGAAATATTTAATTTGGTAACAAAATATTTAGTTTGCATCTAAATATTTAGATTGTAAAAAGAATGTGAAGCTTGTTAACTAAACATTTAGTTTGGAACTGCAGCATTTGTTTAGTTTGGAGATAAATGTCTAGTTTTTAAATTGAAAACAGCTTGTAAGTTTGTAAACTAAAAAAAATACTTTGATAACCAGATATTTAATTTCCAAGAGAAATATATAACTTGATATCTAAATATTTAGATTATAAACAAAATGTTAAGCTTGCTAATTAAATATTTAGTTGAAACTGGCATTTATATATAAATG